GTAGCCAAGCTAAGCCCTTAAACCCCAAGCTCAACCTTGTTTCCGGAGAGAAATCAGAGGGTCCGCTTGTCGTGCTACTGTGGAATCAGCCACACCCCAAAACCATAACGCTGCAGCGTTCTTGCGTAGCTAACTCCGTATCAGCACCGTAAACCCTTGAACCACACTCAATAGGGTCCACGGTCTAGGCTTTCCACATGTGGACCCTCGGGGAAGGTCATCGGTACGCTTCAGAACGGGCTGACGACGACGTGAGGGGTCTCGCTTATTGCCATCCCTGCGCGGCCTCATTACGTGCATGGCAAGCTCAAGTGTATGTCTCGGGCTTCGGGCTCCCTGATGCTTATAGTGATAGTCTGGAGGTTGTTTTCTCTCCAGGTCCTTAGCCGGATGGCTCCGGGCAAGTGCTGCCACGATTGTTTCACCCGAGAATTTGACGACCTCAGAGATCACAGAATATTTCGTCAGAAGCACATGGTCACTTGTCCGAACTTGTGTCTTCTTGTGGTAGCCATCATACCAGGGAGAAGCCGTCCTCAATTGTTTTGAATTCAGCACCTACAAGCCTTGCTATAACTTAAAACCATGAACAAGCCCCTCGAAGTAAAACCCCACGCCAAGCTGCTCCGATACAATAGGGTTTAGGTTTTAGGGAGTAGACCGTAGCATACGAACTGTTTCTGCAGAGTTTTCTTTCAGTCGTTCCAGGCTACTGTATCGTATATACAATGAGGGCTCCGTTTTGTTACAAGGATGCTGTGCAGTACCGGAGGGGGTTCCCGACAGAATCTCAAAAAAGGATGGTACCTGAAAGAGCCAGCCGCATAAACCCCCAAGTCAATCCCCCGTGCTTGTGTTTCGCGCTTATGACTGTAGCATTTAGGAGCGCTCTGAAGACTTGGCTTTCTTCTGGCTGGCTCTTAGGACTTTAACCTTTTGGGTTTTTGTAGAGACTACAATAAGGAGCCCAAATGTTAAACTTCTAGGAGGGTTCAGAAGTCAGACCGGTAGTTATGGGATCTTCCCCCTGATACTAACAGTCCTAATGGGGGTTCTAATACCCCCCAGCATAATCCCTCTTCAGGACTGTTGGTGTACGGGAGAACATCCCAAGGTCAATCAAGGTCAGCTGGTAATCCCTAAGTTTAGGGTTTAGGGTTTAGGGTTTAGGGTTTAGGGTTTAGGGGCCAGCAAACCTCCGAAAGACTACGACTCCCTCAGAGTTGTCGCGCTCGTTCTGCGGCTCCTCTAATCATGCTAAGACTCTTAATCCCTAAGCCCATAGTAGCATAAATGGAAAGCCGATTCTGTCTCCAAGAACCCCCCCCAGCCCTCCGGAAGTTGCAGGGTGTAGGAGCTGGTTGGCGAGAACCGTGGCACGAAGCAATGTGAAGGGGAGGTCGTTTTCGTCTTGCTCTTGGTTTGTTTAATATGCTAAAACACAAAAAGTTCTTCTATTGGCGGCTGAGCCCCTTAAACATAGGGTTTACGGTTTAGGGAGCACGCCTCCAGTGCCCACCCCTCCGCCCCATCCCCCACACACACAAGCAGTCGCACACCGCATGCGCACGTCTCACAGAAAGAGAGAGCATCTGTCGTTTAGTCTTTTTGGGCCTTGACACCCTAAATCCTAAACCCAATTTATCTCATGGCTTGCCTCGATCGGCTCAACAGGGAGGGATCCGCTCAGCTGCTGCTCATTGCGAGGCTCCATCTGTGCAGTGGCGGGGGCCCCCAGTCCGCATGGTGCTTGTCTAGGTTTCATGCCTTTTTCTCGACCCCAAACCTGCGCGACCGACCATGAAAACAATCAGTCCTTAACAGCTCAACAATGCCCAACGCGGCAACGGGAGGTCCCGGGAGGTATAGGGGAAGCCTATAATAACGGCTTCAGCGCGCGAACTGAATCGCAGGAAGTTGGCTTGTTTGTCTTACGCCGCCCTCAGAAGTAGGAGCTTTGACCAAGTATTTTTACCCAGCAGGATTCACTTTGTTGATTCGGCGGCAGGGTGGGGGTAAGTGTGGCTTTCGGTCGACTGGGGTTGCTGACGCATACACCCTGAATCCTAAAAGCTCTACAACCTAAGCCCTGTGAACCCTATACACTGCCTCCCTGAGCCTGAGGGCTTTAAGTACAGTTTACGATGTTTTAGTTTTTGTTTTCCCCTTTTTTCTGGCGCTTCGAAGGCTCAACGCTGAGAACTTGTGTGATTAGTTTGTGTGCTTTCAGAGTTGACTGGCTGGTGCTTATAGGACTTCAAGGCTTCAACGTTTCAGGGCTGATAGAGTTTGGGTGCAATTTCAGGAGCATGAAGATGTAGGTATGATTTGAGGCTTTTGGGGTTGAAGTCGAAATTTGCCCGCAGCACAAAGCCATCAACACGACGCTAGACCCTTTTAAGCATTAGCAACCTCCTCCTCCTCCTACCGTCGAAGCTCTAAACCCTAGAAACCCTTAAACCCCTGAGGTACCGCCGCGATGGGCATTTCCTTGGAGAGCAGTTCCACCTCCGCTAGGGCGCCGATCTTTTCGGAGTCTAGGGTAAGCGTCTTAGGGCTATTTTGGAGTTTAGGGCTCAGGGGGTAGAGTTACTTTAGGGTGGACCCTAAACGCAAACCCTAACCCTATTTGACTTTAGGGCTTTAGGGTCTAGGTTGCTTTGGCATCTTTGAAGTTTTCAGGCTTAGGGTTTGGGCTCTGAGGTTGTTTTGCAGCAAGTTGTTTTTTTCGCCTTGTGCAGGGGTGAGGTTTAGTTGTGTTTCGGGTGTAGGGATTTGGTTTAGAGGTTTTTCGGGTTTAGGGTGTACAGGTTGTCGGGCTTTGGAATTCAAGGGCCTGGTGTTTGGTACAGGTTTTGGGGCGGGAGGGGGGGGGAGGTTGGGTTTTGGGGTTTTGGGTTCTCGTTTTAGGGTTTAGAAGAGTAGGGTTTAGGGCTTAGGGAGGGGGAAGCAAAAGCCCTGTTGAGTTGACCTTGTTCGAGATTTCCTGGTCTTGACAAGCAAGCTGGCTCAGAAGATTCTACGGTCTTTGGGGTGTAGGGTTTAGGGTTGAGGGTTTAGGGTCCTTAGGGTCCTTAGGGACATGTTCCAGACAGCACACACAAGCTGCCCGAGCAGAAACTGATCACTGGGCATCAAGCCACATCAAAGCTCCAACCTCTGGAACGCACCGAAACCCTTGAGCTCAGATTCATTCCCTCCCCCCCCCCCCTCCTCTAAACCCTAAACCCTAAACCCTAAACCCTAAACCCTAAACCCTAAACCCTAAACCCTAAAACCCTAAAACCCTAAACCCTACACCCTGCACCCTACACCCTAAACCCTAAAGCCTTTTGTTCTTCGCCCCTCTTTTGAAACCCTCAAGGCGCCCCTGAATCCCACCCGAAACGCAAGATTTCGTGGCCTAGGCCTGCGGGAGCTCCCCTCAGACAGGAGCTCGATCGAAGGCCGTTTGAGGGTTTAGGGGTTTTAGGGTTTGGGGTTAAGGGTTAGGGGTTTAGGGTTCAGGGTTCCTGTGTTTAGGGGGGGATAGGGTTGAGGGTTTTCCGGTGATGTTGGGAGATTTATCTAGGAGGATTGTTGCGGGCAACTTAAACTGTGGTGCCAAGGTTTTCGGGTTTAGGAATGAGGGCGCAGGGGCCATGTGCTATTGCGTCTGCTTCCTGCCCGGCTGCACACAACCTGAAAACGGTCTGACAAGGAAGCAGAAAGTCATCTAAGGAAAGTTCGCATGACTTGTTGAGTAGCAGTTGTCTCGCCTCTCGCTCATTCGCTGTCTCACTGTTTATCCAATCTGCCTCACACCAGCAGCACGGTTTCCAACAATTTTCAGCAGGGAGCCACCGTACTGATAAAAATTCCGTCTTGAGCGCATCGTGTGAACCCCTAAACTCCCTAACCCTGCCCTCAACCCTAAGCCCTGACCCCTAATTCTAATTAAACCCTAACCCCTAAGCCCTAAACCCTAAACCCTAAGCAAGTATACTTAGGCCCCCCCCCACTCCGAGACCCTGAGCAATCAATCCCGGATGCGCAAGCTTCGCTTTTTGAGGCGAGGTGGGCGGATCTCAGCGACGAGGTTCGAGAATGCCTGTCCGCTTAAGGGTTTGAGGTTAGGGTTAAGGGTTTAGTATTATACTGAACCCTTAACCCTAACCTCAAACCCTTAAATAGGGTTTAGGGGTGTAAGGGTTAGGGTTTCCGGTAAAGGCAATGAAACAGCTCGTCATCCACAGAGTCCACTTTGCCTTGCTGGTAGACAACGACCTCAGAGCTTTCTGTTGTGTAGCAACCACTTCCTACTATGGTAGGTGTAGCACATCAACCTCTAGTTGACTCGCAAAGGTGGAGGAAATCGGAGGGGGGTTAGAAATTGGGATGCTCTTTGGGTTTAGGGTTGAGGCTGTATTCGGTGTGGCCGCATTCCGCGGCAACTCGATCCCTCATTTCAACATCACACAGGAGAGCATGTGAAAGATACAGAATGCAAGAAGAGTTCTCACCAGAGTCTTTCCAGGCCCCCCGCGTGCCCAAGGCACCACCTGTATGACCTATCGCGCTACTCGCGCACCTTTTGGCATTTGGGTTTTGCTTGTAGCTGAACAGGTCTCCTGTTTAGGTGCCCGGAGGGGTCCCAGTTGAATCATTGCCATTGCTCATGTCCAGCCTCGCCGCCCCGGAAGGCTGCCGGACCACCAGTCTTAGGCCAAGATCGCCCCGGGGCTTACTTAGTATTAGGTAACGGAAAAAAGGTGTCCAGCCATGCATCATTTCATGTGTGCGCTGTGGGGCCTCTTTTGGGCATTCTCCGCATGCAGAGCCGACGAGAGGAATGATGTGGACCAGACCTGTTTGCTTCAAGCGTCTGTGCCGGCAAAGCCACGAGTGATCTCACCGACATCGACGCCGTTACAAAGCCGTCATGCTGGTTTGCTTGCTCGGTGGCGCCGTAGACGCCGTCGTTCCGGATATTACTACGGGTACCACGACGGGTATCACTACTACAGCCCTACAAGCCCTCCGAGCACAACCCAGAGCACGACGATGGTCAGCACCGCGGTCAGCACCACGGCTAGCACCGCGGTCAGCACCACGGCTAGCACCACGGCCAGCACCGCGGCTAGCACCACGGCCAGCACCGCGGCTAGCACCACGGCCAGCATCACAGCTAGCACCACGGCCAGCACCGCCGCTAGCACCACGGTCAGCACCGCAGCTAGCACCACGGTCAGCACCACGGCCAGCACCGCAGCTAGCACCACGGCCAGCACCGCCGCTAGCACCACGGTCAGCACCACAGCTAGCACCACGGTCAGCACCACATCAACTTCGTCTATCACATTCGTTCTGGTCATTTCGGTCGGAGGCTGGGCAGTTTTTTGATTTTGTCCTTACGCAAGATGAACCCCCAACCCTCGCTTAGTACTTTAGGGTAGCAAAAGAGGAAGAGAAAGTGGGGTGGAACCTAAACCCTAAACCCTAAACCCTAAACCCTAAACCCTAAACCCCTAAACCCTAAACCCTTAAAAAGCCGACCTTGCGGCGGGGGGCTTGCGGGCCTTGAATGGGCAGGTTCATCTTGTGATTCGCTGTGCGCCGGTCAGTGCAACAAAGATCCTGGGATACAGACCAGCAAGTCTTTCAATTCGATTGCGTGTTCCGTATATATATATATATGAGATATAAGCCACCTTGTGCCGCAAACCATCCTAAACCCCTAAACCCCTGAACGCCCAAACCCCAACCCCCAAACCCACTGTGACTTGTCATCCTTAGGGATACTTGGGAGTAGTGATTTTTAAATTTTGGGTACTATCTTTCCTATAAGAAGCAGCTACAAATTCCAATTCTTGCAAGGGTTCCAAGTTTAGTACAGAACCCTAATTAAACCTTAAACCCTAAACCCTAAACCCTGGTAGCCGAGGAGCTGATGGCAGCCATCAACAGCTCTGCGGCCATCAGCGCAACCGTGGCGTCTGCGGGCGCGCCACCTTGCACCAGCACCATGCCGGGCTCCTTCAGCTCGATTTGGCATTTCGGGGGTAGGGGTTAGGTTTTCTGGGGGGGTAGGGTTTAGGGTTACCGGGGTGCAGTCCAGGGCTGTCTTCTGGGAATCGCCGTCGATATATTATGAAGTTCTGAACTTTCTGTGTTCTTTTGTAGAATGCGTTTTGTGGTTCGCCTTGTTTTGCGGACCGAAATGAAGATTTAAGAAAGAAAAGCGAGTCCGAAACACAGTCGAGGATCCGTGGCGGGAAACCCATCTTTTACTTTCAATCCATTGAATATCTCGGAGGGCTCAAACTGTACGTACTTTGATGGTGATGCCAGCATGATCGATTGCTCGGCCAATGATGCTGGCCCGACTGCAGCAGCTCTATGCTACTGCCCTGTTCCTTGACTTTTGTTGGTTTATCCAATGCTGAGATTGTAAGGACTTTGGCCTGGGAACCCTAAACCCTAAACCCTAAACCCTAAACCCTAAACCCTAAACCCCAGCATGGAGGACTGCATGCATGCACGTTTCCAACCTGGACCAGCCGGGTGATTTCCCGCAGTCCCGGAACTTGACGACGCGTGCAATTCTGAAAGAAGCTGCTGCTGCTGCTGCTACTGCTACTGCTACTACTACTACTACTACTACTACTACTACTACTACTACTACTACTACTACTACTACTACTACTACTACTACTACTACTACTACTACTACTACTACTACGACTACGACTACGACTACGACTACGACTACGACTACGACTACGACTACTACGACGACTACGACTACGACTACTACGACGACTACGAGTACGACTACGACTACGACTACGACTACGACTACGACCGTTACGACTACGACTACGACTACGACTACGACTACGACTACGACTACGACTACGACTACGACTACGACTACGACGACGACTACGACGACTACTACTTCTACTTCTACTTCTACTTCTACTTCTACTTCTACTTCTACTTCTACTTCTACTTCTACTTCTACTTCTACTTCTACTTCTACTTCTACTACACGGAGGCGTGGGCCTTCGCAACCCTAAACCAATGCAGTACCACACTAAACGAACTCTACAACCTTCAGCCCCAAACCTGAGACCCCAAACCACCTAAGGGCCCGGTAGCCCCCGAACATTCCCACAAAATTGAAGATGGAGACGCCGCCGAAGCCCAAAGCACCCAACCCCAAACCCTGAAAACCTCAATTCCCCCAGGGTTCTTAAGGCTTGGGGTTTGGGGTTTAGGGCTTAGGGTAGCCCTAAACCCTAAACCCCAAAACCACCAAGCCAATAGCCGGCAGGTCGAGGAAGAGAGCTGGCCGGAGCGTGGATGGGACGACCTCAAGGTTAAAGCCCACCAGGTGGAGGGTTTAGCGGTTTATAGCTTTGTAGGGTTTAGGGTTTATAGGTTTTAGGGTTTAGGGTGTTAGGGTTTAGGGTTTTAGGGTTTAGGGTTTAGGGTTTAGGGTTCAGAGTTGAGGGGTCCATGTCATGGCGAAGAACATAACCCAAGTCCCAAATCTCCCAAGGCCCTTTAAATTCTACAAAGCCCCACCCTCCGACACAGAATGGGCTCAGAATGCTTTCGGGGTTTTTGGGTTTAGCGTTTAGGGTTTAGGGTTTAGGGTTGGGCGTTCTAGTGCTTCGGAGCTGTAATCCTTGTGCAGGTCTTGTACCCCTAAGCTCTAAACTCCTGCACGGTCTGCCCTGAACCCCAAGCCCTCTGTGGCATTGGGGTGCAGAGTTAGGGTGGGCGATTTGAAAGCAAACCCCTATGCTCTAAACCCTGAATGCCCAAACTCTACAGCCCAAACCCCCATACCCCAAACCCCAAACCCCAAACCCCAAACCCTAAACCCTAAACCCTAAACCCCTAAACCCTAAACCCCAAACCCATGTACGCCATGTTTGCACCGCGGCATGCGTGGCGCAGGCGAAGGAGGATGCGATGGACTCGGACCAGGGCTCGAAGAGCATAGACAGCTTTGACAGCTCGGACCAGGCCTCCTCAAGGGTTTAGGGTTTAGGGTTTAGGGTGTAAGGTTTAGGGTTTAGGGTTTAGGGTTTTCGCAAGAGGACTTGTAGGCTGGAGGGTGTAGGCTTTGGGACAAGCGTTTCGGAGGTGGCGGGCTTCTAGGCGAGTTTGCATAATGAAATATTTGTATGATGGCTGAAAGAGTTTCGGGCTCCAAGTGTTCTTTAAATCATGCTCCCTTTTCGGGGCACCCGATTTACCAAGCAGGGATGCTCCTCATTTTGCTACAATCCTAAACCCTGTAACCTTATAAACTCTACTTAAACCTAAGTGTTTCCTGGCAGGTGTGTGCTTTGTTCATGTCCTTTAGTCGGGTGCCGACGGGGAGGATGCTGTGTGATCCCTAGAAGTGGGTAGGATAGGTTAGGAGTCGCACCAAAAAGTGCACCTCAAAAACACAGATAGATCATCACGAGCAGTGAACTAGTTATTTATCTGGCTTTTTTTCTAGCCAATTCTGGATCCATTGGACTTGCTACACAATTGTGCTTCACATTTTGTTAAACCAGGGCGGCTAACGAGTCGAGATGTAAGATTCACGGCCAACTTCGCGCTCCCGCTTGGGTCCCGACTGGAGCACTCCCTAAACCCTAAACCATGAACCCTGCACCTGCCGCTGCGCCATAGCACACGATTCTTCCATATGAACGGAATCGCGATTTCACATCAGTCTGGTGCCGGTTGCCCAAAGCACTGCAACCATTTTGGGGTTGGGCATTGGGGGGGTTCATAGGGTTTAGGGGACTAGGGGTTATGTGTTTATAGGGTTCAGGGGTTACGTAGGGTGGGGTTTGGCCCTAAACCCCGAAACCCCTAAACCCTTAAACCCCTAAATCAATGGTTTAGGGTTTATAGGATTCAGAGGGCTACGCAGTGGGAAGCGCACCTGACAGGCCAGTCCGCATCAGGAGTTCACCGAGACCGTGGCAGACGCTTCGCCAGACACCGAGATGAATGTCTAGGGTGTAGGGTTTAGGGTTTAGGGTTTAGGGTTTAGGGTTGTTGGTCACTTGGCTGGGCTATAAAGATAATGATTTAATGTATGCTACGTATAGAGCTTCAAGCAGTTTATTTGTCAATGTATAGAGGGCTTTGGCCTTAGAATTTGGGATCGTGTAGAAAAACTCATCAACAAACCAATCAATACATAAATACATGTATACATATAATTTACAATATATCTCTGGGTTCTGGTTTGTGGGAGGAGGTGTCTTATAGGCTGGGTATCTGCAGCGAGCTTGTTGCAACTCTGTCGATATCGTGTTCAGAGGGATCCAATGGTGTGTAACCCCTCTTTTGTCGTAGCTAAAGTAAACGTCCAAAGTCCGAATGTGGAAGGCTGTGAAGATCAGCGGCCTGCAAGGGGTTGATGCACCCTAAGACCTCAACCATAACCCCAACCCCTCCCTCTCCTCCTTTGCGATAGCTGAGAAGCGCATGCTAAGTGCAGCACGTGGCATCCCCGAAACACATAAACTCCCAAGCCCCAAACCCGAAACACCCAAAGTTGAAATACCCCAGTTCATGACCTGCATGCTCCCTCGTGTAGTTAGGGTTTAGGGCTGGGAGTTTAGGGCTTTAGGGGTTCTGAGAGTTGTTTTATACTTGAGGTACATGCTCATTGAGGGGTTTTGGGCCCTCAGGGTTGTTTTCGATGTCGATGAACGCTGGAGGGCGTCGTCGTACGGGCGAGCCGGAAAGTGCGTGCCTGAGGTGTATGGTTTATGGGTCAGGGTTCAGGGTTGAAGGGATACAGGGGCAAGGTTTAGGGCGTCGGCATTCTTGGTCGAGGGTTTGGCAGTTTGGCTCGGGTCAATGTTTTGGTGCGGGGGGGGGGGGGGTGATGGTCACAGCGGCTCGGATCCTTTGTGGTCAGTACACAGTACACCCCCCCATTTTGCGATGGAAGTGTGTGTTTTTGTAGTCATGATACGGCGCTCGCACTCCATGCCCAAACGTAAGATTGGGCAAGCCTTCCCCCCCAAAAAAGAAACAGATCCAAATCCAAAGTTTGGGTTTACCATCCCCTCCCCCCAACATCCGCTTAGTGGCTTAGTAGTAGTGGCACTTGTAACGCCCAGAGCTCTTGAAATTCGAAAACCCAGGCATCGTCCAGGCTGGGAATTAGGGTTCAGGGCCCACTGCCGAAGCCCAATGCTCCGATCTCCACCCGCTCCCCCCCTTTCCACCCCTTCCACCCCCAAACCCTGAAACCCTAAGCCTCCGATCGGATCGATGTCAAGTCTCCCTAAACCTTAAAACCCCAAACCCACGAACGCGAAGCCCACGAACGCGGAACCCAAGCAAGCACTGCCGATGTTGAATCGAGGCCTGACAGGCCAACGACCCTACTCAGCTCTACCTACAGAGCCAAAGGCGAGTGTAGGGTTTAAGGTTTACAGTAATGATTTCAGGGAGTAGAGGGCTCATGGAGGGTTTATAGGGGTTTGTAGAGTTATTTTTAAAGGGTTTAGAGGGTTTGCAGGGCCCAGAGGGTTTACAGAGGGTTTAGAAGGCAAGGTTCTTGAAGGGGCCGGGGGGTCCCTAATGGTTCTTTATTTATACCCCTGCAAGGGGAAATAGGGACCTAATGCCCTCATTCCTTGCGAAGCATCAATAAGTCTTAAGCCCTCTTGAAAAGCGCTTTGTGGTTTTTGGTGTCTAGGCTTTTGGGAGTTCAGGGGTTTTGAAGCTTTGGGGGCACCCCAAAAACGCTTAAGCTTAAGCCCTAGACCTGAAAGCATCTTAGAACTCTGAGACTTGCGACCTTGCAGCCCCAAAAACCCTAAACCCCAAAACCCAAGAACCCTGACTAAGCCCTATAGAGTGGCAAAACACCGAAGCCGAAAACCCTGAATGCTAGACTCTTGGTCCAGGATTTGAAGTTTGGCCTTCCCTGCACAGGACGTGGGTTGCGATGGACTGCCAAGGCACTGGTGCGTGGAAGGGTTTAGTGTTTGGGATGTAAGATTTGGGGCCTGGGGGCTTAGGGTTTTGGGTTCAGGGCTTCGGGTGTATAAAGCCCAAAGTCACCAACCTCTGACACCTAAGTTTTTGTGTTGTTGGCGTTGGGCCGTTCAGCACCTTAGAAGGGTAAAGCGGGGAGCAAGGCACGCAGGTCTAGAACATTGACATCCAGCTTACAACCTGTATAAGAAATAGGCAAGAGTGAGGACACTGAGTTGTTCTTGTCCGCGCCACGGCACGCTTTAAGGTGCAATATAGGGGTCGGAATACTTACGACTAGTATCCCCTCGTAGTCCCTATAGATACAACTATACCAGAGTATCCCCCAAAACCCTATTCTAGTGATTCAGGCCCCCTACATTAGGGTTTCTGAGGATCTTGCACTTTCAGGTTGAAAAACCTGGCGAAGGGGCTTCTGTCAGTCTCTTCAGCGTCGGAAGGTTCGGGCTTAGGAGCTCGGAGGATTGAGGGGCTTGGTCATCGTGGACGCCAACAGAAAACCCCAGAACAGTAGGGCTCAACGTGTAGGTTGCCTATTCACCGCGATACCCCCCCCCACTCACCCTCTAACAGTACCCAAATTCTAGCTGCGAATCTGCGACTGCCGTTCATGAGCCCCACTTTTTTTAAATGCCGTATGGTGAGGATGTACCCAAGGCTTATAGGGCAAAAATTAGAAACATACCTGAAGGTCTGCATTTCTCTCTGAGGTGACTGACGCGTCTGCAGGAACTTTCAGCGAAGCACGTTCCCAGCCTGCCCGAGTCTCGGCGCTGCGTTACTGCAGAAGCAAGGATCCAGAGTAGGCCCTTATTTCCTCTTTTTGGGGTTGGGGTTCCCTTATAATCCCCTGAAAAGGCCAAAAAAACGAAAGAAAGGTGCACGTTTTATTCCTGGGTTCCTCCTGGGTCTGGGAAGCAAACATGATGAGCAGGTGGATTCCATGTACCTTGGGTTAGTGATAGTATGAAACTCATGCAGGCATGATAAGGAGCATGTGCAGGTGAGTCGAATGTAAGTACTTGCAGAAGGGAGATACGACTTCCATGCGTATCTTGCACGCATGTCTTGCAAAGTCGCTGAAGCGCATGAACCTAGCTAACTAACTTTGGGAGCAGCAGCCGAGAATCGCCACACGACAGAGGGGGCAGACATCGTGCGACGTTGCTAAACACATTGCAAAATCCTTCGACACACAAAAGGGGCTCCCGAAAAACCCTCCCTGACACTCCACGGTAGTTTCTTCTGTGTGCTATATCAGATCCTTCATGGAACCAACAAGAACTTCAACGGACGTCAGAAGGAACCGGGTCTGGACTTTGTCTGGTTGGGCTTGGTTGTAGTCTAGGGGTTTAGCAGGCGTCGAAGGTTTATTTTGCGGAGTCCCCTGCGGGTGGTGCTTTTCAAGGAGGCGTCTACGATCATATTTTGGGGGTTGTACGGGCCCCAGTGTTGAAAACTACAACTTCGTTCCTAAGACTTGACTTGTCAGTGTCAAACATTCGCTGATCACACCGAGCTGCTGAGGTCAAGAGCCAGCACGTTGCCCAGAACTACGATCGCTACTACGACCACAACCTAGGTTACAACAGCGATACGTACTGTTATGGCAAGGCCTCCGCAGGGTCAGCTGGGGGATGTTCCCCTTAACCCTATAGACCCTAAACCCTTCATTTCAAGAACAAAAAGAACCTTCGTGGCCCTAAATCCCTAAACCCTATACACCCCTAAGCCGCCCCTAGAAATCCCCGAAGCGCCGAAGCACCTGCGATGGCCTCCATTTCACAGTCAATCGGGCTCCCTTTTGCTTGTGTGGATGGACCGTTGGACGCCTCAGGGTCCAGGATTTCACTCGTTTATTGGGGCTTCAGAGCTTCTTAAGACTTTTGGGTTTTTGGTTAAGGACCCTTCTAGGAGTGATGTTGCACCCTCATTAGTGTGCATTGCCTCCCCCCCCCCCCCCCCCGCCAAACAGTTCACAGTCGAAACTGATTTTGATCCTCTTTACATGGTCCCGGAATTGGCTATGATTGTAAAGGGAAGAGTTTATATGAACCAAAAACGGACAGAGAGACCCGGCAATTTGCGCGCCACACGAAACATTCTGTCGACACACGGACCTAGTGGTTCATCCCATCTGGCATCCCCCACAAGTCACACGGTCCTGAATATCCTGGCAAACGTGACTTAGTTCAGAGGACCCCGACTAAAGCGGAGGTCATCCTAAACCCCTAAACCCTAAACCCTAAAGGGGCGGGGGTTCCAGCATTGTCTCTTCACGCTAAGTCAGGGCGGCATTTGTCTCTTCACGCTAAGTCAGGGCGGCCGCCAGAAGAGCTGGAAGGATTATGAGCCCGCGCACTCCTACGCGGGCGTCCGCGCGCTCAGATGCAAGGATACACTGTGTTTAGGCCTTACAGGCTTTGGGCGTTTTTGCAGCCCTAAACCCTAAACCCTAAACCCTAAACCCTAAACCCTAATCCCTAATCCCTAAACCCTAAACCCTAAACCCTAAACCCTAAACCCTAAACCCTAAACCCTAAACCCTAAACCCTAAACCCTAAACCCTATACCCTATACCCTATACCCTAAACCCTAAACCCTAAACCCTAAACCCTACCCCCTAAACCCTACCCCCTAAACCCTAAACCCTAGACTCCTCAAATTGTAGGGTTGAGGGAGTTGAGGGTTTAGGTTGTCTTCGGGACTCAGCTTCAGGGAGACGGCTCCCTTTCAGGGGGAGCCGCCTCACGACCCTCAGTTTGGCATCAAAGGCATGCAGATTTCCTAGACCTGGAGCCTTAAACCCAGGCTTAAGGGGTTCCCTCCTTATATGAAGTAGGGTTTATATCACTTTTTTTGGTGAGTGTGTATATGGTTCCGTTTGTAGTATTGGTGAGTGTATATACCGGGTGTCCTTTTGGGGGTACAAGAAACATAAACCCTACTTCATATCCCTGAATCTGAACTGTTCTGCTGCCCTGAGGCTTATGCAGATGCCGTGTCCGGAAGCTACGCCATCAAGGGGAAGGCTTTGGGACCCTCTGAGCCCTAAGCCCCAACCCCCGATGACCCTCCCCAAAAAACCGCTTCGGGTCCGATGTGTGAGGCCTAAAAGAGGTGGCCGATGTTGGTTCAGGTCGGGGGGCGTAGAGGTAGGTCTGGAGGGTGATGGAGATGCGAAGGCTTTCATTCCGTGCCGTGAGTTTCTTGTGCTTGTAATAGGGTTCAGGATGTCATTGCACTGTGTTTATGGCTCAGCTTCACCCCAAACCCCAAAACCGAAGCTTGGAAGCCTTGAAGCCTTAACCCTATCTTCATTGTGCTGTGTCGGGCTTCGGTTGTGAAAGCCGAAACTTTACGAACCTTGCGGGGCTTTTGTGATGTTTCAGGGCTTACGCTTCAAGGTTATAGGGCCTTCGCTATAGGGTTTGCAGTAAGGTTTTTGCGTCATCGATTCGGGCTTGGTGGTCTTCGTTTGCGTTCGGCCTGAGGGGCTGCCCATAGGTCGCCCCGAACCTCCCGCAAAGGAGCATCTGGGGGGATACCCCCCCACTACAACCCTGAACCCTACACCCTAAACCCAACACCCTAAACCCTAAACCCCCCCTGGTTCGGAGTTAGGTTTCCCGTTCCCTTTTGGGACTTTTCTGGGCAGGGCGCGCGCCAGCCACAACAAGATCGGCTGAGCCCTGAGAGTAAGAGTAGGAGGTGGGTTTAGGGTTTAGGGTTTAGGTTTAGGGTTCTAGGGTTTCAGGTTTCGGGTTCAGGGTTGCCTTCCACCCCTCCCGCTCCCCCTTGCCCCCCCCCCCCCCCCAAGGGGTGGTAGTAGTATTGTCCTGTCGTGTTCTCAAGGTTGGGCCAGCCAGCCACATCAAGCAACCTCCTTGTGTCGTCAGCCATGCCCAAAATACCAGGGGTGGTATTAGCTGGCAGAGTTCTCGAGGTTGCAGGCACCCTGCCCGTGGAACACCCATCCTGAAACTGCCCTAAGTTGAAGAACCCATTCTGCAGAATATTGACGGATGATGTGACTTCAGATCAATGTTTGCCCTGCCAACGGTGATTCAAGTTATGCTTTTCTTTTTTGGAAAGTAGGTTCCAAACCTTAAAAGCGGAACCGAATCGTTGTTTTCCTGAATCCGAGCAAAGCTCTGTATAAGCCTCTTAATACCTCACCCCAATCCCTTAACCCCTTCATCGCAAAATCCAGAACCTGAAGCCCCAAAGGCCTAGTCCCCTGTTCTCTCGAGCCTCTAGATTTACGCTACATTGGGGTCCCAAAACTTCCCAATGCGGGAACTAAACACCAGAAATCCCAAACCCCCCAAATGCGGGTTGGGAGACTCCTCTGGCCCGAGCTCTCGCTCTCTCTCCCTCCCTCCTCTCCCCTCTCCGCTCTACGCTCTCCTCTCTCCCCTCTCCCCTGTCCCCTCTCCCCTGTCCCCTCTCCCCTCTCCCCCTCCCGCTCGCGCTCCCTTTCCCTCTCCCTATCCCTCTCCCTACCCCTCTTCCTCTCCCACTCCCTCTCTCGCGCTCTCGGTTTTTTTCTCTCTCTCTCTCTCTCTCTCTCTCTCTCTCTCTCTCTCGCTCTCTGTCTGTATATACATACATACATATCCACACGAACTAGGCACTTAGGCCCGAAAACGGGGCTTAGGGTTTAGGGTTTGGGTTCCCCAAGCTCAGCTCCCTAAGCTCCCTACTGAAGCCGCCCAAACTTCCTAAACCCTAAACCGGTGGGCGTCACCGTTGTGCGCCGAGGACAGACCGAAGCCTGACCTCCCGGCATGCTTAGCGCGGCTGAGGGGATGAAGGGTTTTAGGGGGGGTGCAGGCTCTTATAAGGCGTTCTTTAAAGCCTCAAGGACTCCATTGGGCTAGGGTCTGCTGCTTTCTTGCAGCAGGTACTTCAAAAGGTTGCCCTGAGTTTAGAAACCCCCCAACCCCCCACCCCCCCCATTCCCCCCCGATGTCCTGGGCTCCGGAGGTGCAAGAAGCAGTGCCAGTTCATCATTGGCATCGAGGAGGCCCTATAGAGGGTCAAGAAATTCGGTGCCCCACAGCACAATAAAAAAAGGGCAAGAGAAGGCCATGCAAGCCCTGCGTAAAAGTAGCAGGAGAGAGAGGGAGTGAAAGAAAGAGAGGCCGAGACGGAGACGGAGACAGACGGAGACAGAGACACAGACAGATCGAGCTAGAGAGAGAGAGAGAGAGAGAGAGAGAGAGAGAGAGAGAGAGAGAGCGAGAGCGGGATCAAAGAAAGGAAGAACGGAAGACAGAAAGAAAGAGGGAGGGACAGAGGGACAGAGAGGGAAAGAGAGGGAAAGAGAGGGAAAGAGAGGGAAAGAGAGGGAAAGAATGAAAGAATGAAAGAGGAAACACCTGTCAGGCTCAAGGGGCAGATGGCTTCAACCTCCGGCTCGGGCCTCCCGAGCCCGAAGCCCTCCACCCGAGAAGTGAGGCTTAGGGCCTCTAGATGCCTGTAGGGTTTACTGGGCTTGTAGGGCTCTAAACCCTAAACTCCAACACCTTAAGCCCTAAATCCTAAACCCAAACTCCAGATCCTACATCCTACTGTAGGGTTTCGGGTCCTAACCCTAAACCCTAAACCCTAAACCCCAAACCCCAAACCCTAAACCCTAAATCCCTAAACCCTGGGGCTTCGGGCTTCATCCTGGGGTTTGCGCCCCTGGTCCCTTCGCAAGGATCCCATCTTCCGGGTCGGGCGGCGCTTGTTGGGTCCCAGCGGGCCGCGCCCCCGGGTTTGGCGTTTGGGGTTTAGGGTTTCGGGTTGGTGTTTAGGGTTTAGGGTTTAGGGTTTAGGGTTTAGGGTTTAGGGTTTAGGGTTTAGGGTTTAGGGTTTAGGGTTTGGGGCTTTTAGGGTTGACTGTGAAGTTTTTGTGGGCTAGGGGGTTGGGGCGTAGGATGCCAGGGGTTTGGGGCTTGAGGTAACCCCTATGCCCCTTAGGGTTTTCAGGGTTCAGGCTGTTGTTGCGCAGACTGGAAGTTGGGGCAGGGGGAGGGTTAGGGATCGCAGGATTGATTTGGAAGTTTCCGGTCTTGGGCATCTAAACATTCATGGTGTAGAGGATTTTGGCTATGGGCTTTCCTATCTTAGAGTCTTGTGTGGGGTTCCCACCCCTCTGCCTACGACGTATTGAGCAGAGTGCTGGGTTTAGGGCTTATGGCTTTGGGATCCCCGGTTTAGGGTTCGGGGATTCCAAACAGGGTAAGTTTAGGTTTCGGGTTTAGGGTTAGGGTTAGGGCTTTAAGTTGCTCCCTTGGAAGCCAGCTGAAGGTCTCACATGAAGGCGATCGCGGCCAAGACAGGCGAGACCATTCAGTGCTTATTGCGCAGTTTATCAGAGTATCCCTAAACCCTAAACCCTACACCCTACACCCTACACCCTAAACCCGAACATCCAAAGCCCCAGCGTCCAAACCTAAAGAATTTGAACGAACGAAGCTGGGTCTTGGGGGGGGGGGGGGGGGGGGGGGGCGGGTGATGTACATTTTAATGAAGTGCCTCACTGGGCATCCACTGCCGCGCATATTCCAAAAGCTTCGGGTACCCAAAGACCGCCCCTCATGTTTACCCTCAGCCCTAAAAGCTAAATCTCAAGCTACTAAGCCGCAGACCCTCAACCCCCAACCCTAAACCCAAAACCCTAAACCCTAAACTCTAAACCCTAAACCCTAAACTCTTTTCAGGGCTTATAAACCACATTCGTAATGCGGGAGGCTGTCGCCTGCGACTCCGCGGCAAGGGCTCATGGTTCCTGGAGGGACCGAACCAAGAGGAGAAGGGCTTTAGGGTTTCAGATTTCGGGCCAAGTTTTTGGAGTGTTGGGTTCAGGGTAATTATTGGGGTAGAGGCAAGATGAGACGGGTGTTTGGGCCAATTTGGGGCTGACGAATTTCCGCCTCGGAGTCACGGGAGTTGAGATTTTAGGGTCCTTGTCTAGGGTGACATGACCCTAAGGATCCCAGCAAACACCCTAAACCGGGCTTAGGGGTGCCAATTACGACGTCCTTGGCAAAGAGGGTTCCCTTCCTTGCAGGGCCTCTTGTTGGTACATACCCCAAACCCCTTCAAGCACACTGTAAGATACATGGAATGCCCCTAGCAGAGCCTCCTTATCCAAGGTACTCCGGGAACGCATGTCAACCCCTAAAGTCCTATCTAACAGCAGGAGTACACTAGGAACCCTAGAGCCAGGAACCCCAACGCCCTGTAAAACCCTCTAACAGCAGGAATGGGAACCCTGAAGTCCTGAACCCCGAAACCCTCAACCCCTGAAGCAGGAGTAGGAACCCCAGAGCTCTGAACCCTAAACCCCGAAACCCCGAAACCCCTAAACCCTAAACCCTAAACCCTAAACCCTAAACCCCGAGTAGGAGCTGCCTCTTTGCCCGAGGAGTCTTCTGACCCCCTCATGCTCTGCGTCAGCTCGTGCTCACCTCGACCCGACTTCGGTTCAGTGAGCTCGAAATTTCAGGGTGTGGTGGGTTTAGGGTTTAGGGTTTAGGGTTTAGGGTTTCGGGTTTCGGGTTTCGGGTTTCGGGTTTGGGGTTTGGGGTTTGGGGTTTAGGGTTTAGGGTTTAGGGCGAAATGGTCAACCCTAAACCCTAAACCCGATTTCAACACAAAACCCTAGCAGGGGGCAGGACCTTAAATGCACTAGAAATCGAAGATCCTAGCCCCCAAAATTGGGGGGCCATATCCCCCGACAAACCTGAACTTCGCACGCACATCCTGAAGGCCAAAGCCCTGAACCCCCAAACACAATAACGACCTCCTGAACTAAGACCCACCGAGCACGACCATGCGAATGCTGTCCAGCTCATTGAGGAGTTGCCGGTGCCCCAGTTTGAGATAGAACTCACTAGCATGAGTTCAATAATCAGACAGTTCTGTACTTTGTTAGTGGCCACCGCCCAACCTCAATGTAGTAAACCCCCTGCGCCTCAAAAGCCCAAACCCTTAATCCCCAATCTGCGAACCCAAAATCCCGAGCCCGAGCTGTGAAACCTCAACCCTAATATGCCCAAACTGTGAAACCCTGAGCTTAACACCTTAAGCCCCCTTCCCAACCGTGTCGACAAGCGCTGTGGATCGGAAATATGAGAAAACAAAAACACCAACACACACACACACACACACACAGAGACAGAGAGAGAGAGAGAGGGAGAGAGAGACTGAGACTGAGACTGGAGACTGGAGACTGGAGACTGGAGACTGGAGACGGGAGACGGGAGACGGGAGACGGGAGACGGGAGACGGGAGACGGGAGACGGGAGACGGGAGACGGGAGACTGGAGACTGGAGACCGAGACTGAGACTGACACAGAGACAGAGCCTGAGACTGAGACTGGCACTGAGACAGAGACAGAGACGCAGCGACACAGAGACACAGGGACACAGAGACACAGAGACACAGAGACACAGAGACACAGAGACACAAAGACACACAGACACACAGACACACACACACACACACACACACCCTAGAAACGGACACTGTTGCGGTGTCGATCCCGTTCCATTCACAAGTTGCAGTTGAGATCCATCGGCCGAAAGAATAACCTGTGATTCCCACAACCAAGACATCTCTGAATTTGCAGATCTGGGGCGGCAGAAATTATTTCATAAGCCCCGACGAAAGCATTTCCCTGCAGACAAGGATGTAACCCCCGATTCGTAGCGCCTATGCCTCGTTCGTATGACAGGGTATACCACCTGCAGCTAGTATGCGCACAATTTTAGAAGCGCTTCCGTCAGCGTGCCTATGCTGTGATCGATGCACAGCCCTGGGGCGATTCATGGCACGATGCAAACCTCACAGAGGCCTTTTGCCTATCCTATCTTCGAAACAGCAGGCGCTGAATCTGCCAGATTCCTTGAAGCTCTCATTCCCAGCAGCCTGTGAACGTGGCTCATGAGTTTTTCCTGTTAGTCATTGACTTTAAAACCAACGCATTACCGAGACACGGCTGTGACAGAATCCAGGGCTATTGCAACAAACCGTCACATCCAGTCAAACCAGAATTCCAGAAATTCACCCACAATCCTAAACATACAGCCTGGATGTGCCCTGGAACGGTTTTTTAAACCGGAATTCCAGAAATCCACTTATAAATCTTGACAAATCGGGCCCAAACACTGGCAGAAAAAGAGCCGTTCAGTGGTAGAAAATGTCCATTGCTAGGCAACTTCCGCCCCCGCAAAAACCTCAAACTCCTGTAACCTGCTGCTTCCTGAATGTGGTGTTTTTGCCACGGCGCACTCTTTCAAGTCAGAAGTACACAGCAAGCGCAGATGTTCTCATGCAGACCAAGCAGACTACCAGGATAGCCGTCCGATGGACGAGGCAACGTTTGACCAGGAGCTCCGTTTGGCAAGCTCTCCCAGAAGCACAGAGCAAAAGGCTGGTCGACGTCACCTATTGGGTAAACCGCTACCTTGTCAGTTTGAAGCCTGCTTGCTTGCAGCGCACGGGTGTGAAGACGCAGATCCCGAAGACATCGGAGACTACAAGTGCTACTGTGCTCGACAGCTGCAGCAAGTAGCTGTGTGCTCAACTTTGCGTGTCTGACTGCTCATGTGTGGTCACTTTCTGACTTGATAAATAGCCCATTCAACGCCAATTGTCTCTGTGAGGAAGGCGACCTCAATGATTGCCCCAGGTGCGAGACACCCTGGGTTAATGCTGAGGGGAAGCCCTTCCAGGATCCATGGCGGTGACTTGCCTAACACGTGCTCAATCCTAGGTAGAACTAGTGGCCTGTGGGATTACATTAGATGCAGTCGTCGACGAAGTCTTCGACGTGATCCAGGCATATCTGGACCCAGGAGCCGCAACTTCGAGTCAGTGTGTGCTACTGTGGAGCACTACACTGGGCAATTAGGGATTAACAGCCATGCCCACCAGCCCTAAACCCAAGATATGCCTAGCAGTAAACCTATCCGGATGGAACCCAATTGGTGCAACCGTAGACATGTTGTGGGCGTGTTTAAACGTTTCTAAGCATATTTATTTTGAACTGACAGTTGACGATCCCAATATGGAATTGTGAGTTCATATATCTATGCATGTGCAAAATGTGTGTATTTCTGCCACGTGTATACAAATCGTACTTTAAAAAGGTGATCGTGTTTAAGAACCCTAAAATTTGTGTTTATGAATAAGACATGCATATGTGTGTAAAAAGTGGGTTCGCGCTTAGAGTGAGGCGTGTTTATTTTCAAAAGTGCTGTGTTTTACAGCACGCGTGGCTCCTTTTTTGCGTAATCGAAATATAGAAGCGGTGGATAAAACCACAGCACGGAGCCCATAATCTTTTGAGGCGGCCTCTGATCTCTAGCAAAACCACTAACCCTACAAACCCCAAGCCCCTTGCCCCCAAGCCCCAAACCACAAAACTCCAAGCACCAAACCAAAACGTAAGCCCCAACATATGATACACCCTAAACTGCTGACCCCAATCCAAGTGCCCGCAGTTAGGTTGCTGTCGGTGTACGCAGATTTCAGGGACTTCTGCGTCAAGGCTCCCAGGGCGGCCCATTTGGGTCTGGGGGTCTTCAGGTTTTCGGGCACACGGAAAGAAATTTCCTCACAGTTGTTTGAGGATCTATGTAGGGTTCAAGTTTATTGTCTAGAGGCTTGAAGCTTTAGGGTTTGGGGTATGTGTTGCGTTTAGATGGGCCGAGAGGTCGTACGGGTTTCGGAATGCCATAAAGACCCATCCTAACCCTTTTGGTACTTTTATTCTTTCTCCATCTCCCGATCCCCTTCGGTAATTCCATCAATTCCCTGTGAAGGCTGAACGCCAAACCCCCTCAACCCCTACAACTCCTGAAGTGCAAAGTCCCAAACCCCAAGTGCTGAACCACACTTTCACCCTAGACCCCAAGCCCTTTACTAAACGTTATACCCTAAGTACCCCAAGTTCCCTAAATACCCCAAATGCCGTCAATACTCCAATGCCATCAATACCCTACATACCCCAAGCACCCTGAATCCCTTCCCCCCCCCCCAAACCCGCCAAATCTTCAACCTAAGCCCTGTCAACCCAAAAGCTCCCAAAGGCTAAACCCCGAAACCCTGATCCCCAAAGCCGAAACTCGAAAGCCTAAACCCCAGGCAGCCCGAAAATTTAGGGGTTAGCTGTGAGGGGTAAGACTGAAGGCCTGAAGCCACTTTTTGAGGCACTAAACCCTAAAACCCTTAGTCTAACCCTAAGCTGCACAGTCATACCCCATGCAATCCTCCTTGACACATTAGCACAGGATGGAAAATGCAGCTTTCTTCAGGTGATTGATACTTACGGGTGTATGCTGAAATTTCGAGTTTCGTTTCCTAAAGGGCACACTTATATAAGACTTGATGAGTAGTGCGTGAACCACAGGCAGACTAGCAAACAGGAAGCACCCAACAAGATAAACTTAAACCCAAAATCAGCCATTTTGGAAAAGTTCCTCTACATACCTGGACATGTTGCGAATGCTTCGCGAGGCGTTGCCGAAGCATCCCCATTCAGGGTTCTAGAAGGGTCACTGACCCCGACCTCGGAAATTGACTTGTGTGGGTGGCTATGCTTTTGTTGGATTCGTCGTGGCTTTCGGTTGGTTATGCTTTGGAGCGCATTTAGGATTAGTGTGTTTTTTCGAAAGCTTGCTGTGTCAGACTGAGATAAAGGGTGTGAGATCTGGGGTCAGAAGCAACTGCAAGGGCCCTCAATCGTTGCGGTCCTTCAATGCCAAGTGAATGGTGTGCATTTTCCATATATATGTATATATCCCCCACGTAAATACCTTTCAGACCTCCTCAATTCTCCCGCAAGAAAAGCCCATATTACATCTACTTTGGCCAGGAAGGCTGGCCGGTGCAGGATTTGCAGATCCGCCGCAATGTCGCTTGCCGGCACGGATGGCCTTCATTTACTACACATCCTTGAAAGTGGTGTTCGTGCTGTCCAGCGGCCTGTACTTCCCATGCCTTTAGGGACTAGAGCTTCGGCCTTAATTTTGGGATTTAGGGCTTGAGGTTCTGGGAAACTCCAAATTTCAGGGTTTCCTTAAACCCTAAACCCTAAACCCTAAACCCTAAACCCCTGTGACTTTCAGGGCTTTCATGGGCCTCTGGCGGTGGACGCTAGGAGCCCTGAAATGGCCCGATCCGACCCAGCCGGAGTCTGGGGTTTAGGGTTTAGGGTTTAGGGTTTAGGGTCACGAGCTCAGCTCTGCGAACATCACTATACGCGGCATACGCCAAGGTTTAGGGTTTAGGGTTTAGGGTTTAGGCTTTAGGGCTCATAATCAAGCCCGACATGGCTGCTCGAAATATACCTAGGGACCTGGTCTTTTTGTCCTCACTTTGAGATGATCGGGACCTCCCCTCTTGGTCTCCAGATGTCTCAAGCTTGTGCTTTCCTCCCATCGAGGCTTTCAAATTGTGCTTCGGGATTCTGGAAAAAACTCGAGAACATTGCTAGGGCTCCAAAACCTTCATCCCTAGCTGGCCCCAAGCCCTGAACCCTGATCCCCAAGAGGGCTTAAGGTTTAGGGCTTAGGGTTTAGGGTTGAGGGTTGAGGGTTGAGGGTTTAGGGTTTAGGGCTTAGGGCTTAGGGTTTAGGGTTTAGGGTTTAGGGGCCCTTTGAAGCCTACACGCTGAACTCTGAACCCAGGAGGGCGCACGCAAAGGCGCCCGCTGAAGCTCAGGGCGTTGGTCAATGCAGGCCACGGACCTGACAAAGGATCATAGCGGTTTGGGGGTTTTCGGGGTTCACTGTTTGATGGTTTCAGGTTGGGATGTTCCCCCTTAAACTAACAGTCCTGAATAGGGAATGTAGTAGGGCGTGCTATAATCCCTATCAAGGACTGGTAGGATTAAGAGGGGACATCCCAAGTTTCAGGGTTTCAGGGTTTGTGTCTGTGCGTGTGTGGGTGTGTGGGTGGGCCATTTCGTCACTCCTGCTAGGCCTCCATCAGAGCCTTATGACCCTAACCCGAAACCCTAGACTCTAAACCCGAAACCCGAAACCCGAAACCCTAAACCCTAAACCCTAAACCCTAAACCCTAAACCCTAAACCCTAAACCCTAAACCCTAAACCCTAGCTTTGCAACTTGCCAATCCTGGGGTCTGGGCAAGCTACCGGAAACCATCGGAATGTAATATTGGCTAAGCCTCACCAGCCCAAGTCAAGCCCAAGGGTTTTTTGGGGTTTAGGGTTTAGGGTTTAGGGTTTAGGGTTTAGGGTTTAGGGTTTAGGGTTTACTGTTCAGGGATTAGGGTTACTACAGTACCGCCATGAAAAGCTATAGGCCCTATCAACCCCTCAAGCCGTCTAAGCCTTCGTAAGCCGTAAGCCCCACTCAATTAAAAACGCTGGAGCCAGCCCTACCTAGTTTTATGTAACCTTCAAGCCCCTTGCCAGGCTTTTGAGACCGACACCCTGAAGCTCACCCAAAACCCTTCAAACCCCAATCCCTAATCCCTAGTCCCGATCACCCGGATCTGAGGAGTTGCCAGATGCCAGCCTTTGAGCACAAAGCATCCGCAGACTTGCGCCTGCGCCCAGTCAGCTCGCGAGAGGTCTAGGGCATACCCGAACCCTAAATCCGAAAGGTAGGCCCTTGGGACATTTTGTTTTCCTTGTATTGGGTTTGAGAGGACCAGGATCATATTCAGAAAATTTTCCTCTGAGGAAGTTTGGGGGCCATCCTAGTCGGCAACCCTATATCCCACAAGCACCTCTAAACCCTAAACCCTACAGTTGAGGGTTTAAAACCCTAAATCCTAAACCCTAAACCCTAAACCCTAAACCCTAAACCCTAAACCCTACACCAAAAGGACCTCAGGGTGCCTGGATGGAGAACTGCAGA